AATCAAAAACAAAGACAAAAAATGGGAAAACCAGCAAGTCTACAGCAAACTCTATCCAACCCGCAGTCTATTTCTAGTATTAACAACACCTCGTGTTTTCATTTATACGGGAGTGCAGCTTGCAGCTATGTGTAAGAAATGAAAGTGGATCTACCTTGATTCTGCCTTGGATAAGCTATCTTTGTGCCAGGGATCCATTGTTTGTGTGCTTGTTTGTTTTTCACTTTTAAAGTTTCTGTTTATATTGAAGGTAGGGATCCATTTGAAGTGTTTTTGTAAAGATTTTACCTATGGTTAATTGTTATTATTGAGTTTTGAGAATTCTTTAGAGCCTTGATTTGCAAATATTTGATTTTTGTTATCTTTTAAAAGGTGAAAACATCTTAATTTATTTTGAGAAATACATTTTATACATTTGTTCTTTCATTCATTGTGCTTTGGCTGTTCTAAGTATATTGGCCTATCTCAAAGTTTTAAAGCTTCTCTTCAGAGATTTTACTAATGTAAGTATTTAAACATTAGGTTCATTTTAGTTAGTTTCTCATATGGTGTGAAGCATGAAAGTAGCTACACTCTTTTGAGTGGAAATCTGCAAAATTTCCAGCATTATTTGTTGAAAGGACAGTTCATTTTTTCACTGAATCACTTTTATGTATTTGGTGAAAATCAGTTGCCTGTATATAGGTCTAAGTGTCTTCTATTTCTGAACTCCATCCTCTTCCACTGATCTCTGTGTGTTTAGAACAAACAGGTACTTGGTGTACTCGATTACATTTTGCGTTGTAACTGCAAGGTCAGCAATTCGAAACCATCAGCGGGTCTAAGAAGAAAGATGGGGCTGTCTGCTCCTGTAAAGACTTAGAGTCTTAGAAACCCCTGGGGCCAGTTCTACTCTGCCTTATAGGGTCACTGCAAGTACAAATCGACTCAGTGGCATTGAGTTTGTCTTTTTGGTGTAAATCTTGAAATCAGTGTAGATTTTCCAACTTCGTTCTAGCCTACTATTGTTGTTTTTGCTCGCACATTTGCATTTCTCCATGAATTTTAGAATCACTTTAATTTTTACCCCCAAAATTGAGTGGATTTTTTCACTAGGATTACTTTATACCTATATATCAACTTTTCTGGAGAATTGCCATTTTAAAAATATTGGATCTTCTTTATAATGTTTGATTGTCATAGCGTATCTCTGTTTGTTTAGGTATTCTTTATTTCTCGCAGTGATCTTGTATGGTATCCTGTGATTCAGATTTTGATATTTAAACCTTTTGAGACTAGTTAATAGTATTTTTAATGTTTATTATTCATTTTAATATTAGAATAATATGTGATATCCATAGATGTAAATTTAATAGTGTCTTTAAAATTTAAATTTCTTATTGCTTGCTAGTAGTATGCATAAATGGAAAATATTTTTGCATATTGATCTTACTTACAGCTTAGGAAAATTAACTTTCTAATTCTAGTAGTAATTTTACTAAATTGAATTGGACTTTCTAAATAAACAACCATATATTTTATAGATATAATAAGTTGTCTTTTTTCCTTTCCAGTATGGATACCTTCTGCCCCTCACCCCCCCTTTACCTTAATGAATAGTTTGGAATTTGCAATCAATGTTGAATCAAAGTGGTGGGAGTGGATATCCTTGACTTTATCTTATTAAGTTTAACATTGGCTGTAGGTTTTGGATTTGTGTTCTTGTTGTTTTTTGGTAGAGGAGTTTGGTAATGTTCTCTTCTATTCTTTGTTGAGAATTTTAGCATTAATGATAACTTCAGGTGTTTTTCTTGAGCTTATTGAAATAAGCATATGATTACAAAATACATAAATCACCTATTTTTGTATAGTACATTATCCTAAAATTTAGCATCTTAAGCAACAAACATTTTTTATTTTCATAGTTTCTATCAGTTGCGCCTGTGGGGCTCTTTACCTGGGAGTGCTTGACTCAAGGTCCTTTGTGAGGTTTTAGTCAAGCTGCAGCTGGAGACTGTGGTCACACAGAAAGCTTGGTTCACTGGTAGTTGGCAGGCGCCAGTCTTCCTGCTCTTAGCTTCTCCCTAGGCCTGCCTTGTGACATGTCATAGCTCAGGCTGCTGATCTAAGACAGAGAGGAAAGGGAGAAAGCATTCATAGAAAACCCACACTGTTTGTTATACTTTCTCAGAAGTCATGAGACATGACTTCTGACATATTCTAATTATTCTAAATACATGAAAAGACCCAGTCAGAGAGTATTAAATAAAGGCATGCATACTGGAGGGATCGTGAGGGACCCCTTAGAGACATCCTGCTCTCCTCTGTTTAATAGTGGACTTGGCATGGTTGGAGTTAAGCTAACCTTGCACTCCAGGATACATACTACTTTGTCATAATTTGTTTTCCTTTTTCTGTATCACTGGACTCATTTTCTAAAAACACGTCCCAGATTTTGCATCTGTGCACATGACTGAACTTCAATGGTATGTGTCTTTTCAAGTAATGCTTTTGTCTAGTGTTGGTGTTGGAATGATGCTGGCCTCATGGAATGAATTGGGAACTAGCCCCTCTTCTTCAATTTTTTGGAAGAGTATTTGTAGAATTGGATTTATTTCTTCCTTAAATGCTTGGTTCAATTCACCAATGATGCCATCTGGTCCTGGCATTTTTTTGTGATAAAATTATTTATTGTGAATTCAGTTGCTTTAATTAGATATAGGCCTATTCACAATCTCTCTTCTGAGTAGACTTATACTTTTTGTCTTTTAAGCAATTGTTTCATCTAAATTTTTGAATTTCTGTCATTAAGTTATATAGTATCTTTAGTATCTGTAGCATCCAGTGGTTAGCAGTATGTTTCCTCTTTTCTTCTTCATTAATCTGGCTGTAGCTTATCACTTCTTTTGATTTTTGCTGAGTGTCAGCTTTTATTTTTGATTTTATTGTTTTCTGTTTTCATTGCTTTACATTCATATGTAGTATTTCTGTTAATTTGCTTACTTTGGGTTATATTTGCTCCTTTTACCTAATTATATTTATATTTACCTAATTATATTTAACTGAAAGCTGAAATCAGTGTTTTTAAATGTTTCTTTTTCTCCCTTACTATATGACTAGTACTATATATTATCATAGCTAAAGTACTGTTTTTGCTGCATTACCCACATATTGATATTTTGTGTTATTTTCATTCAGTTCAAGATATTTTCAATTTTTATTTTATGATTATAGTTTCCAAATATTTGCTACCATCTTTATTTTTATAAAGTCCCACCTCCCTTCTAAATATATTCTTTGTATTACTGGTTTTAAGCTTTTTGATTACAATATACCTTCATGTGTATTCTCTATCCTTATTTTACTTAAGGTTTGTTGTCTTCCTGGGTTCATGTGCTGATTTTATTGCCTCAATGATGGGACTGATCACTTTTCTAATTTCCTTCACATACTTCAGAAGACCATATCAGCTCTCAAGAATATTGAATGCATCTAATCTATTTCTAATAAATTGCTAGATTTTATCTTGAGTATAGATGACTCTGTCTTGAGTCTCTTCAAAACAATTTGAGCAGTTTCATGATGTGCTCGAAGTATGATAATATTCTTGTTGTTTGACTTAATGAGAATTCAATCCAGGCTTAATAGCTGAAAACATACTCAAGTCAATTTGGTGAATGATAGTTAATTAAAACATTTTACTACTTAAATAACTACAAACAGCTCAAGTACTTTTGTATCTTAGTGTTCTTTAGAAAATATATTATTAAATAGTAAGATGTTTCTTATATAGTTCAGTCAATACAGAGGTATATCAAAATGATTAAAGTTTTACCTGTTCTCTGATCAATTCCACATGCCCGTGAGTGTTTGATGTTAACAGTCATGTGTTTCCATGTGTTACCTTTTCCTATGTTCATACAATACATATTATCTACATCTGTGCTTGTATTTGCATCTGTAGAGCCCTGATGACACTGTGAGATAGGAATTAGGAAGAGGGTGGGGGCGGGCAAAAAAAAAAAAAAAAAAGATTGGTGGATCAACCCTACCAGCTGCTTTGTGAGAGGGAGAGAGACAGAGAGAGGGAGGACGCTGTCTGCTTCTGTCGAGATTTGTAGTCTCAAAAGCCCTACTTAGAGGCACTGTGAGTTAGAATCCACTCGATGTCAGTGGATAACCATGTACCCTGATTCGTTTATTCCCTCACACACACTGTGTATTACACTGAAACGTAATATTTTCACTATAACACACGGGCTCTTCTTAAGCATTGTTTGTATTGTTTTGTTAGCATATGTTCGGACTCAAGGAAATGTGCGCAGAGTAGAACTGGGTAGGATTCCCAAGGCTCTTAACTTTTGGGAATCAGACCACAGGCTTATATTTTGAGCCTCCTCACAGTGGGTTTGAACCATCAACCTTTTGGCTAGTTGTTGAGGACATAACTGTTGGTACCACCCAGCCTACTCCTTGATAGCATATAGGAGGGTAGAAACTTGTACACGAAGGGAAAGAAAATAGTGACAGCAATTTCTTTTAGCTTTTCTTTGGAGATGAAAATAAAATGACCTCGCTATATAGAAAAGTTAGAGGCTAGAAAGTTATTTAATAAGGACAATGAAATCTCACAAATATAGGGAGAACAAAAGGACTGGAACATAATGTAGAAAACAAGGCGGAAAAAATAAGAGACCAAAATAAAATAAAGTGAAATGAAAGAGTGAGGCAGGCTGTGCAGGAGGAGAATGGCAATGTAGGGAAGCAAATGATGTAAGCACATTTTTAAGATGAGAGTTACGCACTATTTGTCTTTTACAATATTATTCCTTTTCATCTACCATCTTTGAAAAGAAAACAAAGTGACACTATGCTGATGTGGCTTTTAGAACATGGACTTATTTGGGTATTTTCTGACTTTGAAATTGACACACTATCTGGAATAATAAATCAGCAGGTTTACTGATATTAAATTTCCAGCGCAGAGTTCTGAGCTTAATTTTTTTTTTTTTAACCCTCAGATATGTGTCACAAAGATGTCTACACGGAATTGCCAGGGAATGGACTCAGTGATCAAGCCCCTGGACACAATTCCCGAGGACAAGAAAGTCAGAGTTCAGAGGACACAGAGCACCTTCGATCCTTTTGAGAAGCCAGCTAACCAAGTAAAGAGAGTTCATTCCGAAAACAATGCTTGCATTAATTTCAAGTCGTCCTCTGCAGGGAAAGAGTCGCCTAAAGTTCGAAGGCACTCCAGCCCCAGCTCGGTAAGTGCCGCCTTCTCTCTCCCTGGGTCAGGGGAATATGCCACTCATTCCACAAGCAGGCGGTGCTGGAAGGCAGGCGGCAGGTGGCTTTCTCAGTGCCTTGCTCCTCATTCTCTCCCAGGGTGGTTTAACATTTTGGTAGAGAGAGAAAGAGCAAACAACAGACAGGCTGTTTATTCATAAGCATCCAGAGAGCAAATGGGACGTGATTCAGCTTTCTTCTTTTCAGTTGTTTTCAGCTAGAGAAATTCATAATTGAGTCTTTTGGTATGTCAAATCCTTGGAGAAGTTTTTACTATGTTTACAGGCAATAAGGAAAGGTTGGGAAATGGGAAAATTGGTAAAACATTCCATTTTAGAATGAATGCCAAGATCTTTTCATTTGTCTTTTACCAGTGTGTTTTCAGTGTGATTAAAGAAAATGTTAAGTTCTATGTATTGAAACATATCATCTTAAGAAAAATCCTTGTTTCATTGTAATGGTATTTTCTAAACAAACTAAATCAAGCCAATTATTGAGATCAATTTTGAATATGATTCCTGCCCTTTGGTTGTAAAGATTTTAGCTTGAGGTTTATTTTTCCAAGACATCCCTACATATACTGGGAAAAACTTTATCTCTTGAAATTAGGTACTTTTCTGGTTTAACCTACCATGTAGGTAAGTTGTTTTTACATAGATCTATAAGTTCAAAAGCAAGAGGAGAATGATCAGAGAATTTTGATTCTGTTATCTTGCTAAGAACCACAATTACTATTGTACAAATGATATATTTCTTAAAGACAGAAGAAGGGCCGAAAAAGTTGAGTACTAGAAAAGTGTTGACGCTTTAAATTAATCTGTATGACACTGTATTAAGCCTTGTGTCACATATTATGAATGAAATTGAAATGTATATTAATGAAATAATAACTGCTTATTTGTTGTGTTGTTTTTTTTTAACCCCCAAAAGGCCCAGATAACCTTCATGTAGGGTCCATCCGGGTCATAGATATGTCACCAACTTGTAGGGAAAATTTTAGAGTTAATACTGCTTACAATAAGCAGAAGTAGGTGGGGAACAGGGGGGATGGGGTATCTAGAATAATTAAACCCTTGATATACAAAGATAATTATTTATTTTTTGTACTATATGGTAATCACATTATATGCATGCCCACCTATATCTCACTCACTCACTCACTCAATCACTTACCCACTGCACGTGAGTCAATTCTGACTCACAGTGACCCTATGGAACTCCCTATAGGGGTTTCCAAACTGAGTCTTTATGGAAGTAGAAAACCTCATCTTTCTCTCCCACCTATAAATAACCTTCAGACATTAGGTTTTCAGATACTTCAGTGAGATCTATAAAAATCTGAAATTCAAATTAACTAGCTGTCTTTTATTTTATTTGGCAATTCTGTAAATTCTGTAATCCCTGGTGCATCATTCATTTTTTTGTTCAAATTGTTCTTGCTTTGGTCATTGGGGACTCTTTTAGAATGATGCCTGTTTCCTCTTAGATACCATCATCTTCCTGGCTTGTTGGTCCCACAAGATGCTCTTAGTTTAGATTTTATTTTTAACTCCCAGTGCTAGAATTGGCCGTTTCTCTAACGAATTCTGGTTCCTTATATTGGAGGGTGGTATTTAGAAACCAAGATCTGGGTGTTAATGTGTTTTATCCTAATGATGAGTTTCATTTTTAAAAGTCATATATCATATAGTATACAATATAGTATAAATTATAACAGTAGGATTATGATCTGCATTCTTAACTTCTAGTAAGGAATAAATTAAACTCTTCATTAAGAAAAATGAGATGAGTCTGCCAAACATGATTTGTAGTTTATTAAATAAGTACTTGACCATAGTTTAAAAGCTCAACTGTAGACGATTTTTGGAGGATAGCAATGGAATAGGTTTTTAAAACCCCTTATACTCCTGTAATTAGAGCAACTAAAACCAAACCAACAGACAACATGTACAGCAACTAAAGATAACAACGTATTTCCCTGAACCTCAAGCCAGAGTGGGGAGGGGACAATCTATGACAGTTTCAAGAACTATGTGGTATTAGAAAATGTGTAGGAGGAAAGTTGGAGATTGCCAAGGGAATTGCTCCTGCTCCCAGGGCCATAAAGCCCCCAGATTACCAGAGGGTGCACACTAGTGGTGTTCTACATAAGTATTGTGATGCTAACTGAAAGGTTGGTGGTTCAAATCTACCGCTGCCTCTGGGGAGAAAGTTGAGGTTGTCTACTCCTTTAGGGGATTTATTGCTTTAGCAACCCCGTACAGGGTGGCTGTGAACTCAAGTGGTAGGTGGGTCATTCTGAGAACAGCAGCAAAGGGGAGACGACTTTGACAGCTCATGTGAGTGGATGAGTGAAAGAAAAGTCATAGAATATCTATTTTAATGGATAACTGGTCTTTCTTTAGTGATTTCTCTAAACTGCCACATTACCCTGATAGTGTAGTGGTTAGGCCTGGGCCTGCTAACAGCAAGGTCAGCAGTTTGAAACCACAAGCCAATCCACAGGAGAAAGATGAGGCTTCTCCTCCAATAAAGAGTTCCAGTCTAGGAAACCCACGAGAGCAGCTCTCCCCTATTCTGTCGGGTCACTCTGATTCAGACTAGACTCGACCGTGTGTGTGTGTGTGTGTGTGTGTGTGTGTGTGTGTGTGTGTTTCTTCAGATCCAGCCTTAGGGTGAACAGAACAATGGTACGGTAGAGTTCTATGCAGGCAGGGTCATCAGGAGTAGTGGACAGAGAAGATCCAGGGAGGTGTGTGGAGGGAAATGCACGGGGAGATCTGAGAGTGTAGACTGCCCTTCTCCACCCACAGACAAGCTCCATGAAGATCAGAAGGAAACCCTAGTCCAGGAAACAACAAAAGCGGTCTTGGCTATTCCCCTCTCTCACGAAGCTACCCAAGATTTTATTTTTACTTAAAAATGAGCAATAGAAAGAACAATAGTTGAATTCCATGTGAAACTGTGAAAAGGAAGAAAAGGGAGCAGAATGACCTTCGCTGGCAGTGAAAGCCTGTCAGAGGAGTGGAAGCCACCTTTGTGTTGGCGCAGGACGATCACCGTTGAAATTTCCAAAGAATCCGTGGAAGTGCGACAGTGAAACCATTCAGTCAAGTGGGAGGGTATAAAATAACATGCAAAGTCCAACAGCCTATAGATGAACAAGCAAGGATCAGTTTTGAAAACGCATAAATGCAGAAAACAACCCGATATTTCATTTTCTTCCTGAAATGTAGCTTGTGGTAACCCAGTGTTGATGAGGACAGGCTTTTCTTTTAGAAGTGTCTCCACTGATAAATCCAAACAGAGTCCTAGATTTAGCAATCAGTATTTTTTAAGCTCTTATAAATCAGTCCGTCGTTGTCAATAGCTGCTAACATTATAGACAGTTATTATGACATGATTGAAGTATGAAAAAGCCATTTATGAAGTAGTGTTGCCAACAGAATTAAACTTGAATCCGAATAAGCCTCTGTATCACAGGTTATCAGACTTATTTGGCATACCATCTTCTTTCCACACACACAAAAATTGACTGAGGGCCCACCTGGCAATTAAACACTTTTCCCTACAGCCAATAATCCAGGGTAAAGGGTAGTTATACCAGTTCCCCTGGATTGGTCCAGCGCCCCCCTGGGAGGCAGTATCACTTCCTTTGGGTGATACTGATGTAGATACTACCAACATACTAAGTTCAAAGAAACACATCGAGAGGACTTTTTATATGGTGTTCTCCATTCCCGCATATAAATTTCTCCTACCGCTATGCTTTTTGGCTTAAACATATATACAGATTTACAATCTTATGATGACTTAAATATTTTTTATAGCCAAGCCTCGTAATGTGTTATGACTCAATTTCTTTAATTGATCAACTTTTTGATTTCCTAAATGTAATTGCCTCCTATTTTATTTTATTCAAAATTAATATGATTTCGATAAAACATTCAGAACCTAAAGTATAGGAAAAACAAAAACAAAACGTATACAGTCCTCTCAAACAAGTCAGAATCAGGTTGTGTATTAGTTTGCTTCCATGCCCGAGAATGCCCTGACAGATCCCCCTGGGACTAATTCAGTCTGGACTGGCTGTTGTCTCAGCCTGCTGTGTATGGTGTGTCTTCCCTTTACCATCGCCCTGAGATTGTCCTTTACCTTCTCTTTGGTATCTGAGTTAGTTAATTGTGCCAGCCTGGCCGATAATCACATGTGGTGCTGGTTGAAAGGCGGAGGAATAAATGGGTGGTGAAGCCTCGCCTTTCTAGTTCTCGGGTCTCTTGTTTTGTGATGGTTGCATCGGGTGCAGCTGCCTTAGCAGTTCCCTGCTTCAGCTTGCAAGATGGATTTCCTACAAGACATCCCCAAGGAGAAGCCGCATGGATCTATCCCGATGCAGCCCTGGGTGCTGGAGCAGCCATGTGGAGACCCCTGCCAGTGCTGAGATGCTTCCACGTTCACTGACTCAGCTTTCCTCCTGCAGTCGGCATTATTGCCTCTGTTTTGTGAGGTGAAGGACTTTGTGGACTGGTGTTGGGTATGGGTTAATGTTGGACTTGTGGGCTTGGGCAGCATTGGGTTGGGATGTTTTCGTGATGCACCTTTTCTTTACATAAAACTCTCTCTTATACGTGAGTTGCTGTGGATTTGTTTCTCCAAAGTACCTAGACTAATACAGTATCGCACATCTGAGCCTCTGGTTTTTGTTCTTGGCTTATTTCATTCCTTTATAGAAGCATTTTCCCCAATAGTGTGCTATGATGGTAGGACGTTTGCATGTATAACTAAGTTTGACTGGCTATGTCGTTATTAGGTTCTGTTGAGTTGATTCCAACTCACGAGAGAATCTGTGTAAAACACCACTGAACATCGTCCAGTCCTGTGTCACTTCATAGTTGTTTTTATGTTTGAACCCGTTGTTATTGCCACTGTGTCCATCTATCTCAGTCATGGCCTTTCCCTTTTTTTGCTGCTCCACTAC